ATTCATAATAATATTAAATAAAAAAATACCCCTTATGATAGTCTTTGGAAACCATTGCACTTGCTAATAATTCATCGTTCTGCCCTGTTTCAAGAAGGCTAGGCCTTCTGGCCAGAAATAATTCAGTCCTATCAGCAATCCAATACTGTATATCTTTAATAAAAAAAAAATAATTCATAAAACTCAAAATCCGTAGCTCTCCGACACTGGATAAATAATACATTTTTCGCATTGGTCAAAACGATCATAAAAAAACCTCACTGGATTCCAGAATGTCAGAGCTTGAATTCTGGGCAGAAAAAAGAGGGGTGCATAATGTCATCCAGACCACCCCCCAGTTTTAGCGCCGGTCCTGAGATTATTCTTGTTTCAAAACTAGATTGTCGTTCTCGTTCAAACCGAGAAACACGTCGAGGCACTTAAATCTCTAAGGTCAGACTAGTTTGATTGGGCCCTGAGGCAGAAAAAAAATCACAGAGGTACAGAACCCAAAGGGTATGCCACGAGGTCATCTAGTCCAACCCCCTGCTTAATCAGGGCGGGAATCCATTCCACCGCTTCTCGAACGCCAAGCCTCTGGAGTTTCACATACCCAGTGAAAGAGGAAGCCACCATTTCTTGGTGACGGGATCAATTGCTAAACCTTGTTTGTTATTTTTGCCTTGACTTTCAAGGCATAACTTCACACCGTTACACAACCTCCTCGGGCTTGGGTGCGAGAAAATAGGCAACGGATTCAGAGAAGGGTATCAAACGATTCTAAATCCAGGATTCAGAGACGCTTTGGTACCACCCCGAGCGAGGATTTAAAGGCAGCCCGGAAACAGCCCCAGGTTTCGTCAATAACTCTTTTCCTGCATTGGCCAGTGGGGGGGGTGTCAGTCTAGATGACCTCTGAGAATAATCCCACCCACCCCCATCCACCCAAGGCTTGGTCTGCCACGCAGCCAAGATAGATCCTTTCTAACGTTCAAAGCCACCGTCATCCTACCCGGAAGTCCGATCCAGATTAAAGAAATAATCATCATTTCCCAACGCTTCATGAAAGATTCACGGAGAATTTTTCTCGGTGTCTCTTTTCCCACGGCCGGAGTCAAAATACCAGATCTGCTGGTCGGTCCAGCAGCCAAACTCGGCCCTCGGGTCCTTGGCCCGATCAAGAGAGAAGTGGGGGTCTTCTCAAGTTCAAAGGAGCACCAGGCACCCCCCAAAAAGGGGGGCAGGATGCTTAGGAACACGGACTGGCGCCCTGCAGGATGCTCGCCGGGCCCAGGATGCCGTGAAGGGCCGTGGTGGCTACTTTGCGCGAGGCTTTGCGGAGTAGCGGGCTGTCGGGGTGCTGCTCCTGCAGGTGACGCAGGTGCGCTTCCTGGCTGTCGGCCGTCGATCCGCAATCCTCGCAGACGTAAAGTTTAGCCCGGCGCTCCTTGTAGGCGTAACTCTGCTGCACCCCGTGGATTTTTTTGAGGTGGGACTCCAGAGAACAGCGCTGGGTGAAAGCCTTGTCGCACAGCTCACACTTGTAGGGACGCACACCTGGGGCGAGAGAAGGAGGAGGATGAGCAAATGCGGCCGCGCGGGCGGTGTTGGGAGGGACTCGTCACTCCCACGTTACACCGCTTCTGCGCGAGCTGCATTGGCTACCGGTGGCCTTCCGGGTGCGCTTCAAGGTGATGGTTATTATCTTTAAAGCGCTCCATGGCACCGGACCTGGTTACCTTCGAGACCGCCTCCTGCCACAGATTACCCCCCACCGACCTGTACGCTCCCACAGAGTGGGTCTCCTCAGGGTACCGTCGGCCAGACAGTGCCGGCNTTCCAGCAAGCGGGACTGGCCTAGGGGATTTTATAGGGGTTTTAATTACTTTTAAATTGGACATTCTCAAATATTTCGTTTTAATTAAATTTTAACTAGGTGTAATATGTTAGCTTTTTATCATTTGTCAGCCGCCCTGAGTCCGAAAGGAGAAGGGCGGGATATAAATGCAATTAATAATAATAATAATAATAATAATGAGCAAGGGAGGAGGAGGAGGAGGGGAGGAGGAGGGGAGGAGGAGCAGGGGAGGGGGAGGAAGAGGAGCAAGGGAGGTAGAGCAGGAGGAGGAAGAGGAGCAGGGGAGGAGGAGGGAAGGAGGGAGGAAGAGGAGCAGGGACCCAGAGTGAGCAGGGGCTGGACTAGAAGACCTCCAAGGTCCCTTCCAGCTCTACTCTGATTCTGAGTTCAGACAACCCTCTACACCTGTCTTAGTGCCCTGGGCTACAGGTAGCGCTCAGCTTACAACCACAGCTGCGACTAGAATTTCTGTTGTTAAGCGAGGTCGTTGTTCAGTCAGTTGAACCAGATTTTATGACTTTTTACTTTTGGCCACAGTCGCTAAGCGAATCGCCACTGGTCATTAAGTGGATCATCTGGTTGTGAAGGGAACCCAGATGCCTCCCAGAAGAAAGAATATTAGGCATGTTCGCACCTTCAGTTAAGGTCCTCGACTTACAACAGTTCCTTTAGTGACCATACGAAGTGACATCGGCCCTGGAAAAGAGTGACCGATGCCGGTTTTTCACCCAACCGTTGCAACGTCCCCAGGGTCACGTGATCTACATTCAGACGCTTGGCAGCTGACTCATATTTATGACGGCTGTGGCATCCCCAAGGGTAATGTGATCAAAAATCAGATAATTGGCAACTGACTCACATTTATGATGGGTTTGGAATGTCCCGGGGTCAGGCGATCCGCTTTTGCGACCTTCTGACAAGCAAAGTCAATGGGGAAGCCAGATTCAGTTAACAGCCGAGTTACTAACTTAAAAACTACAATGATTCACTTTAAGAACAGTTCGTAAAATAGGGTGGAATAGAAAATAGAAAAGGATAGAAAAGAAAATAGAAAAGAATGGAATAAGAACAGAATAGAATACAATGGAATAGAATAGAACAAAAATACAGAATAGAATGGAATGGAACAGAAATAATAGAATAGAATAATAATAATAATAATAATAATAATAATAATAATAATAATAATAATAATAATAATAATAATAATAATAATAATAATAGAATAGAATTATGGAATGAAATGGAACAGAAAGAATAGAATAGAATAATATTATAGAATATAGAATATTATAGAATAGAATAGAATATTATAGAATAGAATAGAATAGAATAGAATAGAATAGAATAGAATAGAATAGAATAGAATAGAATAGAATAGAATTATGGAATGAAATGGAACAGAAAGAATAGAATAGAATAATATTATAGACTATTATAGACTATTTAGAATAGAATAGAATAGAATAGAATAGAATAGAATAGAATAGAATAGAATAGAATATAGAAGGGAATAGAACAGAAATACAGAATAGAATGGAATGGAATGGAATAGAAATTAGAATAGAACAGAACAGAATAGAATAATAGAAATATGAATAGAATAGAATAGAAAAGAAATTTACAGAATAGAATAGAATAGACTTATTGGCCAGGTGTGATTGGACCCACAAGGAATTTGACACATAAGGAAACCCACTGAACAACTTTCTTTCTTAACAACAGAAACATTGGGCTCAATTGTGGTCGTAACGTGAGGACCACCTGCAGAACGGAGGATTGTTCCTGCGGGCACAACCACCGTTTCTCCTTTTTTGATCCACCGGGGAGATATCCTTGCTGTTAACACCTGCAGTTTGGGCATCGTATGCCAAGGAGAGCTGGGGGAGGGGGGAACAGTCTCCCCCTCCCCTATGTATCCACAGATCTGGGTCCAAGAAAGACCCCGAGTTATAGACCCACTTTTTTTTTTTATGGGACTATCATCCCCGGCCAGATCTGAAACGCCATTCCTGGCACCGATTCTCGGATCGATCGATCGATCTCAGCCCCGCGGGAACAAAAGCGCAGCGCAACCGGCCGCCCCGCGTGAAACTCACCTGTGTGCGTCCGAACGTGTCTCTTGAGGTCAAAGGTGTCGTTAAATCCCTTGTTGCAGTAGGGGCAGAGGTGACGTTTGATCTCGCTGTGGCATTTCAGGTGGCGGTTGAGCATGCGCTGGTAAGAGAAGGCTTTCTGGCAAAACGGGCAGGAAAATTGCTCCACGGGACCGTCGGCCGGGGTCACCTGTGGAGGGCGGGTGGGCGGGCGAGAGAAACAGCTTCCGTGTGAGCTCTGCCTGGACCAGCCACATCCTAACCTGCCATTCCGCCCCGGTCAGAGCGAAGTTAAGATTCTAGTCCTCATGGCTGCTCAGTAGCCAGATTTGGGCACCACCCATCTAGTTGGACCCGATGGCACATCCCAATTGGTAGGATTTTCAAAATGGGAGATCCTAACTAACTAACCCTTCCCAACCCCGTCCTTTGGCAGCCGCAGCGCGTCCGAACTCTCGTTTGGAAATAGCCCGTCCCGTTTCGAAAGTCCTCGGCCGACGATGCTTCATTTAGTGACCAAAGTCGCGACAGCGTCGAAAAAAAGCGACTTTTATGATCGCTTTCCCACACAAAGCAGGAAAAGGACCCCTCCCTTAAAAAATAATAATAATAAAAAATCTCCCATCCAATCTGGGACATTTCTTAGCCGATAAAAATGAAGGCGCCCCGGAAACTAGACAGGCGCCGATGTTTTGCACCCAGCGACTACCATTTTGTGAGCGTGCCCGCAACAATCGCCCACGCATCCCAGGCCCCCTGCCCGTTATCTGTACCCCACACCCCTGATTTAATGAAGCTCAGCCCAGGAGTGGCTTCGACACAATCACACCGTACCCCTTCGTTATTGTTATTTGCTTGCCGGGAGCCCCACTGAAGCCCACAAGAAACGGGGGCGCAAATGGCCAGTCGGGTTATTATACCTTGACCGTGGAGGGGGAGAAGTCGGACTCGGTCTCCTGCCGTCCCCCGCTGGAGACGTGGGCTGTGCCGTGGGGCTGAGCCGCGGTGTAGACGGAGTTGCGGAGGGTCATGTCCAGCGGCATCGGGAATGAGGGCTGCTCGGCCACCGAAGGCTCGGGGTCTTTCCAGAGAGCATATCCACCCAGGGAGACTGGAGAAGAGAAAAGAAGATTTTTTTAAAAGGGGGGGATGGGGTTCCTAGAGGTCCTATAGACTACAGGTACAGGGAGACTGGAGAAAAGATTTTTTTAAAAGGGGGGGTTCCTAGAGATTATTATTATTATTATTACTACTTTAATTTATATCCCGCCCTTCTCCCGAAGGACTCAGGGCGGCTGAGATCCTATAGACTACAGGTACAGGGACACTGGAGAAAAGATTTATTTTTAAAAAGGGGGGTTCCTAGAGGTCCTATAGACTACAGGTACAGGGAGACTGGAGAAAAGATGATTTATTTTTAAAAAGGGGGTTCCTAGAGGTCCTATAGACTACAGGTACAGGGAGACTGGAGAAAAGAAGATTTATTTTTAAAAAGGGGCGTTCCTAGAGGTCCTATAGACTACAGGTACAGGGAGACTGGAGAAAAGAAGATTTATTTTTAAAAAGGGGCGTTCCTAGAGGTCCTATAGACTACAGGTACAGGGAGAGTGGAGAAGAGAAAAGATTTTTTTTTTAAAAAAAGGGGGGGATGGAGTTCCTAGAGGTCCTATAGACTACAGGTACAGGGAGACTGGAGAACAGAAAAGGTTTTTTTTTTAAAGGGGGTGTTCCTAGAGGTCCTATAGACTGAAAGTAGTCCTGGACTTACAACAGTTCATTTAGTGACCGTTCGAAGCTACAACAGCACTGAAAAAAGTGACTTAGGCCCCTTTTTCACACTTAATGGCCGTTGCCACGGTTGCGTGGTCAAAATTCGGGTGCTTGGCAATGGATTCATGTTTACGACGGGTGCCGTGTCCGTGTGACCCCCTTCTGGGACCTTCTGACAAGCCAAGTCAAGGGGGGGAACTAGACTCACTTAACAACCGTGTTACTAACTGAACACCTGAAATGATTCACTTAGCAACCGTGGCAAGAAAGGTGGTAAACTGAGGCAAAATTCACTTAACAACTTAACAATGCAATTTTGGGCTCCACTGCGCTCGTAAGGCGAGGACTTCCTGTAACCCTCTTGCCGGATGCAGGAAAATCAGAACCAGGATTTGTGGCTTGTGAGAGATTTCAGCACTTTTGCAGGGCGGCCACGCAGCACAGTTCTGGCTGTGTTCAGCCCTGATGCTAAGCCAGGATTAAGCTGCGATGAAACCTCGCTGGATTGAACTGAACTGAACACCCAGCAAAACTTTTGCTTCAATTAGACAATCTAATTTGTCATTGGTTTAAATGTCAACCAGCTTTCTGGAGTCTAAAATGCCCTAATTAGCAAGGCTTAAAGTGAGGGGTCCAAGACAACCGCCTGCATTCACACAATACGCCCGAATCACAAAGAACCCAGCCCCTGCATGCTACTGGATCTCATTGTCCACAATGTTTTCCCAAATCCTTCTTAACTGCTCTCTTTCTGGCCAGGTGGTGGTTCTCCTCCGGACAGGAGAGGCCGTGGCTCCAGATAATATCTGAGCGGAGCAAAATTGGTAATAAGAGTCACTTTTCCTGACTCTGGGGAAAAAAAACAAAACGGAGACTCTAGGAACACTTATCAAAACATTCGGGGTTTATTCCCCCCAGGCCTTTCACAACTGGCTCACCTCCAGATACCTGGCTAAACCAGCCCAGGTTGGAGATGAAACGGGGCGGGCGCCAAACAAAGCCTCCGCTGAGCAATGCTAGTCCTCACGACTGCAACGGTTGGAACAAACACGGGGTTCGCTCATCCCCTCCCCGCCCCCTAAGAAAACCCGTCCCCTCCTTCGGCGTCCCTCTATCAGGACCCAACGCCAGCTGCAATAGCAGTAAACAGCCTGGAACCGGTTCACCGGGATGTTATTGGAAAGCAGGGCCCAACCCTGGGAGTTAATTAAGCGTTTCCGGGGCTGGCGCCACATTTTAAGGGCCCATCACCTGCCTCCGAAAAAGGTGGAGTGGGTGGCTGCGTGTCGCAATTGCCCTGAAGTGCCTGCAAAGAACAGGACAAAGGCTGTCCCATTCTTTACAACTCCCGTTGTATGAAGGGGGTGGGGGTGGAAATCAACTCAGCCTAAGGACGGGTAGTCCCCGCTTTACAACGGTACGTTTAGTGACCGTTCAAATGAAAAATGTTTAGGATAGGATAGGATAGGAGCTGGAAGGGACCTTGGAGGTCTTCTAGTCCAGCCCCCTGCTCAAGCAGGAGAACCTATACCGTCTCAGACAGGTGAATGTCTAATAGAATAGAATAAAATAGAATAGAATATAGAATAGAATATAGAATAGAATATAGAATAGAAAAAGAAAAAGAAAAAGAAAAAGGAATAGAATAGAATAGAATAATGAAGCATGTATTGGAATGGAATATAATAATGAAGAATAGAATGGAATGGAATGGAATAGAATAGAAGCTGGAAGGGACCTTGGAGGTCTTCTAGTCCAGCCCCCTGCTCAAGCAGGAGAACCTATACCGTCTCAGACAGGTGTCTCTCTGGTCTCTTCTTAAAAATCTCCAGGGATGGGAGCACCCACGATTCCTGAAGCCAAGGTGTGACCGAGGACCTTTTTTCCCACGCTTATGACTGTTGCGCCATCCCCGTGGTCCCGGGATCAAAATGCGATCATTAAACAAGACATTTCTTAAGTGAGTTTTACCCCATTTTAGGACCATTCTTGCAACTTTCTTAAAGTGAAATCCCTGCAGTTGTTAAATCAGCCACCCGGTTGTTAAGCGAATCTGCCTTTTCCCCATTGAGTTGGCTTGTCAGAAGGTTGCAAAAGGGGATCACGTGACCCCCGGGACATTGCGACCGTCATAAATAGGAGTCAGTGGCCAAGCGTCTGAATTTAACGACACCTTTGACTGTGCCAACAGTCGTAAGTGTGAATAACGGTCCTAAGTCCCTTTTTCGGTGATGTTTGTAACTTCGGTCATTAATACAAGCCGTCGTAAGTCAAGGACTGCCTGTGCAATATAAGAAGATTCTAGCTGATTTTCCAATCTAGAAAAAAAAAACCCATTCCCGCAATCAATCCTCATTCTTTGCCCCAAATTAGTTTTCTGTTTCGCTTTCATTTAGATGGAACAGCCTGAAGTGAACTGGCAAGGCCCAGGCCTGTCAAATTTGTCAGCAGATTTATTTGCCTTTTTAAGTTGGCTTTTTTAATTAAAATCAAAACGAATAGGCAACGTTCTGTGCCAAAAAATAAAATAAAATAAAATAACTGCATTCCCAGCAAAGAACTGAAGGGATACCACCTTTCTATCAAAGACGCGGCTGGGAAGATTAACAGGAGAAACTGTAAAAAGAAGCCTCTGCACATTCTCAGAAGAACTGTTTTGCTCGTCCTGCAGATAATAATCACACCTGGAGTTCTCCAGCCAGTCCCCTACTTAGGACCACATTTGGCGCGCAAAGTTTCCAGTGCTAAACAAAACGGCCGTTAAGTGAGTTTTGCCCCGTTTTACGGCCTTCCTGTGTTGTTAAGTGAATCACTGCTGTTGATAAGGCGGTAATCCGGTTGTTAAGTGAATCCAACTTCCCCATTGACTTTGCTTGTCCGAAGGTCGCAAAAGGGGACCACATGACCCCATGACCGTCATAAATATGAGTCGATTGCCAAATGAATTTTGATCACGTGACTCTGGGGAGGCTGCAACGGTCGTAAGTGTGAAAAGGTGTCCTAAGTCCTTTTTTTTTCAGCGCCGTTGTAACTTCGGTCACTAAATGAAAAGTCGTAAGTCCAGGACTCCCTGTATTCCATCGTATTTCCTAGCTTTTCTGGGGGGAAAAGAGAGATTGATCCACAGGCCTTCCCAGATCTTTCACTGGAGTTAGCAAGCGGATGTTTTGCCAACCTTTTGAAATGGAAATAAATAAATACAAATAAATACATCTTGGATTTCAAATCCAAGCGTCCCTAGTCAGTCCGGCCAGGGATGAGAGAGACAGAAACCAGAATCCAAAAATTGGGAATGACAGAAGCTCATTGTGTCTGGCACTCCAACCCTGGAGGCTTCTAAGAAGAAACTGGACAAACATTAGT